AAACCAATCAGAGGAGGGCAGTCCTGTAAACACATCACACACTTCATGTATAAAATAAAGAGTTTTTACCTCATGTTTGTGGTCCTTGAATCAAAGTTCAAACCTTATCAGTTATTTATGCTGAGTGGCTTTTCAAGCTTCTGTTAAACACATGAAATAAAAACCCTGAAGAGTCCACTCAGCATTTAATATCAACAAAGACGCATTAATGTGTCTGAAAACGTTTATTTAGCAGAGAGCAGATGAAGAGTGTAATAAAGCTGGAGCAGCTCTACTGACGCAAACATCAAACTGTGTTTCTGGAGTTCAGATAATTTGTACATTAACATCTTAAAACAAACAAACAACAAATATTTTGATTTTTACTGAAGAATTAAAATAAAAACGACAAAAACATGAATATTTGTATTTTAATCATTTCAGAAGTCAAGAGAAAGAGTTCATCATCAAATACTGAACAAACTTCCGTCCATCCTCTTATCTTTATTAGGGTCACAGGGGGCGGAGCCTATCCCAGTTACACAGGTGGAGAGGCGCTGCACACCTGTACAGGTCTACATCCTGTCGCAGGAGAAACATGAAAACATGAAAACAGTTTGGTGTTGATGAGAAAATCACACTTGAACTGTTTGATTTCATACCTGCTGTGTGACAGGAGGTCAGAGGTCAGCAGAGGTGCCGAGTCAGCAGGTCCCAGAGGCAGCAGCAGCACAGGAGAGTCGAGCACGCCGCCAGACACGACTTCCTGCCGCCGCCCTGATCCTGCTGCTGATCCACCATGTAAACTGGAAGGACAGGAAGTCACATGACTAAAGCCTGCAGGATGCAAACCCAGTATAACAATCAGTTATGACGGCGCTACAGTTTTTTCCAGTTTGGGATCCGTATGATGTCATAGGGAGGAGAAATCCTTGTATGGCCATCAGAGAAGCCCCGCCTCCTGTTTGTGAGGGACAGCCAATCAGAAAACCTTGTTTTTCTTGTTTTATATGTATTTTCTTTTATGTGGTTATGTGTTCATGACGACTCAGACTCGGAGCTGCTGAGGTCGTCTGAGCATGTGCAGAGGAGGGAGGGTGGAGGCTGAGGATGGAGGAGAAGAGGAAGATTTTTCCCCACTATGACACACAAACACAGACCTCTGTTTGTGCTGACCCTGCCTGAGCTCGTGACCTTTGACCTGCCTGCGTGTTTCGGTGGGTACGAGGCCCCCGGGGGCCCGTCGAGCCTGCCCTGGTAGGCCGACTGGGTCCCAAAGGTGCTCTGTGGGGTCATCGGAGCCATGTAACCTGGATGTTCATGGTAATAGGACTGAGGGAAGGTCTGCAGAGGAAACACGTGGTTACCATAGTAACACTGATGGTCATGTGACAGTTCGTTAATTTGAAGAAAGATTTTATTTTCATGCAGTCAAAGAATTTTTAAATCCTAAAACTGAAAAGAGGCTGAAATATAAAACCAGAGGCTTCATAATCTCTGATGATCCTCCGGATGCTGCAGCAGTGCATGCTGGGTACCTGGTACGGAGAGCTGGGGAAGACGCCAGGCTGACAGGCGAGAGCTGTAAAGAAACAACACGATCAATACTTAAACCTCAGAGAAACGAAAACAGCTGATTGGCTCAGATTCTGCAGGTTTCCTGAACTGAATTCTTCTGTGAACGCGCCACGGCCGCCTGTGAACGCGTCACGGCCGCCTGTGAGCCTGCTTCCACCCTGCTCCACCCTCCTTCCTCCTCCTCCCCGCTCCTCCCGTGTGAGTAAAGGCAGAAGAAGCTCATCACATAACTAAACTTGTTGCTGTGGCAGTGTTGGTCAGTGTTGGTCAAGTTACTTGAAAAAAGTAATTAGTAATTAATAACCAGTGATGGGAATAACAGCATTACTAACGGCGTTACTTTTTCAGTAACGAGTAATCTAACTAATTACTATTCCTATCGTTACAACGCTGTTACAGTTACTAACAAGAAAATGCGGTCG